CGAGGGAAAGAATGCCCTTAGGCTGCTTACCAGAGAAGGTAGGCTGGGACATGGGCCTTGAAGGGTGGGTCAAATTCAGAGTAGATATGGAGTCAAGAAGACCTGGTTCAGATCCTGGCTCTGCCACTTAACAGTTGTGTGACCTTGGGCAACTCATTTGCCTTTCCATGCCTTGATTTCTTCATCTGGAAAATGGGGATAACCCTACCAGTACTACCTATCCTTTGTGGCTGATGTGAGGATTAAATGAGTCAAACTGTGCACAAAGCAGGTAGGAAAGAGGGCATTCCAGATGGAGGGAACGTCAAGGACAAAGATAAGGTGATGGGGAATTCACAGGGAGTTTACTGGCCTGGCCGAGCAGAGGTTTTTTGTAGATGAACAATGACAAATGCAGTTTGGCAGGGTAAGGTAGGGCCACAATCTAGTGGGCCTCAAGTTCAAACCGAAGCCTTCTGCTTTTCCCGTAGTCTTGCCGGGTGAAAGATCGCCTAGAAAGACCTGAGGGCAGGCAGACCCTCCGTGAGGCTGGGGAGGGGCCGGGCCTTCATCTCGGTTGGCCTCATTCATTATGAAGCGGGTGAGAAGCCCCAGTCAGGGGCAAGGGGCCTGCTGCTTATTGCTGCCGGCCCCTTTCGGGGGCAGGTGAAGGCCAGATGCACCATCAAAGGCCAGCCCTGGTCGGGGAGGACCCAGGAGGAGATGGCCTGGGAGACCTCCCGAAGGACGCAATTTGCATTTCAAACAGGGGTTGCCTTCGATTTAAATACAATTAGCATTTCCAGTAATAGGATTCTCCCGCTTTCTCATCAGCCCCTCCAAAATCGGTTCTCATTCCCTCCTTGGTCGGACGCCCAGAATTACTCATACGACCGATTTACTTGGGCTCCCGTGAGAACAGCAGCACCCTCTTCTCCAGTGCTCAGGCTGGCTTCCTGCCTTCCTCCCTCTCCGCTCGCTCTCTCTCTCCTCTCTCTCTCTCTCTCTCTCTCTCTCTCTCTCTCTCTCTCTCTCTCTCTCTCTCTCTCTCCCTCTCTCTCGCTCTCTCTCTCTCTCTCTCTCTCTCTCTCCTCTCTCTCTCGCTCTCTCTCTCTCTGTCTCTGTCTCTGTCTCTGTCTCTGTCTCTCTCCTTCTCTCTCTCTCTCTCTCTCTCTCTCGTTCTGTCTCCGCCTTTTTTCCTCCCCCTTGTGATTTCTCTGTGTCTGCTTTTCTTTGTTTTTCCAAGCTGAATTTCCCTGTTTGTTTCTCTCCTCCCTGTGTTTCTCCTGTCTTTCCATCTCTGTCTGTAACACACACACACACACATGCACACACACACGTGCGCACACACATGCACACATACACACACACGCACACATACACACACACACACACACACACACACACCAACACACACACACCCTTCTTCACTCCTGACATAAATTTCTCTTTTATACACAGCCCCCCCCACACACACACATACCCAGTCCTGCCTCTTCCTCCTGGGATCACTCAACCACAGCCACTCCCACATACATGTTGGATTTTCTCTCCCCACCTCCCCACAATGCCTACATCACCCCAAGTGTTTATAACAGCCCTATGCATACAGTAGGTGTTCAGTAAATTCAAACTGGCTTGTATTTGGCTTGCATTTTTTTAAATACACAATCTACCCTCAACCCCCCCCATACACACACACACACACACATACAAGCTCGCATTTCTCACAAAACACATATCGAGCCCATTTCCCTGAAAAGTGCGCCCAGCCCCAAAATACACTGTCCTCCTTTCAGCCATAGCCTGAGTCGAAGCACATCCCCCTAGAGGTCCTTAGTCCCTTCCCTGTGAGGCAGGTTGGAATGGTAAAAAGAACACGGAAGCCAGAGAACATTGGCTTCAGATCCCATTTCTGAAGCTTAGCATCTGTGTGGCCATGTATGTCACTGAGCCCACCTGGGCCAGACTGTCCTCATCTGTACAAGAGGTTGGCCTCTCCTCTAGAGTGAGGCCCCTGTCCATCCCCTTCCTCTGGAGAGTCAGGGTCTGCTTGGAAGTTTGCCAGTCTTCCCTTACATCACCTGGTATAGTCCAGAAAACTTCAGAAGCACTTTACAGAATCTGAATTTCGAGCCCCTTCCCCTCCCCGGGCCTCAGTTTCCCCATCTGTAAAATGAGAGGGCTGGAGTAAATGCCTCTGAGGTCTCTTCCAAATCGAGAGCTGTGATCTCTTAGTCTATTTTGGGGGAGGTGAGATAAATTGCATTGAGTTTTTCTCTTCTCACAAACAAGGTATGAGGGAATGAGCCAGACTCCAGACCAGAGCTCAAAAGAGACCCACCCCTCCTTGAGCCCAGACGGCAGACACCCTAGTTCTGGCCGGCTCTTCTGTCTTGGGGACACTCCCTCTTCCCAGCCCTCCTCTTCTCCCCAAAGGCAGAGACCCCAAATGCAGACACCCGAGGCAAATGGGAGGCCGTGTGCACAGTGGAATTTGCTCACTGGGTCCTCTGGCCCTCCGAATTCCATTCCAGAGGCTCTGTGTGGTCTCCCCCTTGCTCCCCCAATGATCTCCCTGAACCCGTCCATCTCACCCTCTCTTCCAAGACTGTTTGTCAGAGCCTAGAAGCACTCTGCTGACTTGTAATTATTTTTACTATGGTTCTTTGTCTCCACTAATCCTTTGAAAGAAGCTTTACTGAACAGCTGAAATATTATGATGCTATAAAATCTCTGTAATATTTATAAATCCCTTAAGACATCATAACGAAAAAAAAACCTCCCCACAGAGTTCATCTAACATAATTACATATACATTTCCCTCTGATTAATAAAAAATGATCACTTCCTTATGGAAAGATAGACTGAGCTCTCTCCTCCAGCCCCCCTCTTCCCTTGCCCCTGAACCCCCTCCTTCCCTTTTAAGCTCAGATCTTTCCCCTTTCTCCTCTGCAGAGAAAGGTGTCAGAAAGGCCTGGCCCACCACAATAGGACCTCTCTCCCCTGAGCTTCTGCTGCCTGAACAAGAAACAGGGACCAAGTTCCAGGAGCAAAAAGCCTTTGTTCTCCCAAGACCATAGATCCCACTTACTGGGTAGGGGGATTGGGGGTCTCATCAGTGAGACAGAGGAGCCAGCCACCTACACAGCAAGCTGTCTGTACAAGCCTTTCAGGAGCCTGGAATTCCTAGGCTCTGGAGACAGAAATAATTTTAGTATATGAGGCAGGCACTGAGTATGGAAGGCAGTGTTGTACAGTGGGCAGAGCACCGAGGCTGGAAGCAGAGGATCTGCTTTCAGATCCTGCCTCCCAGGCAGGTGGTGCTGGACGGGGAGCCAGGGAGTCCTGCCTTAGACATGCACCAGCTATATAATCCTGGCCAAGTCACTTGAGCTTCTTCAGCCTCAGTTTCCTCCTCTGTAATACAGGGATGATGATAGCACCCACCTCCCAGAGCTTTTGTAAGTCTCAAATGAGATGACCTCCATAAAGCACTTTAAAAGGTATTAGATAAACATTAGCCATCGTGATTCCTAGCCACGTCACCTTGGCCACTTCCTCATCCCTTTGGGTCCAGCCCTGCCTTTCCAGGTGCTTTGAAATCAAGGCTCCCGAACCCTCCCTAAGAGTCATTGGCAAGCTCCTCTCTGTGAATGAGGGCATCAGACCCTTCACTCCCTGCTAGCAAGGATTCAGGGCAGCTGAAGGCCTGGAGATTATTCAGGAAAAAGAAGACTGGAGACAGCTTGGCTCTGCTCCGGCCCCAGGCTAGCCTCCATACCTGGAAGAATTTCAGTGTCATGATAATGTATGGGGGCAGTGGGACCCCAGGAGGGAACTGAGAGGAATCATACATTTCAAGCTGGAAGGGACTTCCAGGGCCATCCAGCCCAATCTCTTCATTTTGCAGATGAGAAAATTGAGGCCCATGAGAATGAAGTGACTTGGCCAAGGTCACTCAAGTAGAAAGAAGCAAAGACGGGCCCTGTGACCCCCAAATCCTCTCTTCTTTCCCACTGTGCCCCATGGCCTTTAGAGAAAAGCAAAAAGAGGGTAAAGACCAATCCTGAGCTGTGGCTTCCAAGTTTTTCATTCCACTCCCCAGTTCTGAGTCCTCCTGTCTCCCCGCTCTTCTTCTCTCTCTTTTCTTCTTTGTTGAGGCTTCACCCTCCCCTTCTTTTCCCAACCACCAGCCCTCTCATCTCCCCATAAACCTAGAAAAAATGTAATGGTTAAACAAATCAAAGTCAGCAAATTGTTTTTGCCAACTGATGACCAAGTGGGTGACAAGCTTCAGATAGATGGGGTGTGGGCATAACGAGGGTGAGGACAGGGCTGGGGGATGAGGCCACAGCTGGAATGAGGTGTTAAGATCAGGGGTGGAGGGGAGGCCGTGTCAAGGATGGGGTTGAAGTTTGGAGGACTCCATGAGATGATGATTAAGGATGAGATTAAGGATGAGGTGGAAGGTCAGGGCTGGGAGAATGAGGTCTGGTTTGGGGGGAGGTCAGAACTGAAAGAGTAAGGTCAGATTTGTGGGTGGGGTTCAGGTTTGGGCGGGGGAGGATGGGTTAAGGACTGGTAGGATGGGGTCTGTGTTGTTGGGTTGAGGTCCAGGTTGGAACCAAGGTCAGATTCGAAGGTTTAGGGGGCCTTCAGTGAAGTTGGGGCTGAGGGAGGACATGTATGGTCAAGGTTGGGAAGATAAGGCCAAGGTAGGGGCATGGCAGAGGGAAACCACCATGAGAAGCACAGAGAGGGAGGCACTCTGGATCCCTTGTGGCCTATGGGGAGACCCTCGGCTCCCTCAGGTTAGAATTGAAGCCACCTGGGCTCAGCAGAGAAGGTCTCTGGCTGAACTCCTGCTGCTTCAAGCTTCCTCCCATCAGGATCAGATGGACAGAGGAGATGGAAGAGAGAGACTGGGGGAGCAAAGGCAGAAGACACAAGAAAGGGGGCTAAAGGGAAAGAAAAAAAAGGAGTGTAAGAGAAGAGAAAAATAATCACATCCTACCTACCATAAAGCTGTTCTTTCTGTCGCCTCTGTTGTGCCAACCTGCAAGATAGCACATCGAGTGGCAATTTTATAGTGTTGCTGACAATGAGGGTAAATATGCCCGTTCCAAGTTTAGACAATAGATGTAAGGTGGCAAAAGTGCGGTAACCAGAGCTCAGGAGAATCTCTGGCATCTCATCTGTGCAGGACTTGGGATTTGCCCAACAACAAAGCTGGAGATGAATGTTGGTCTAGGGCTGCCCTTGAGAAATGCCCCCTCCCAGAGAGTACCAACTGGGCACTCAGAAAGGCATGGTGGACAAGTGTGGTTCATGGTGGAAACACTGTGCCTTTATCCTAAAATTGAAAGGAACTCTAAAGATGAACTCTGCCGGGCGGGACGATCTCCCAAAGATGAGCTCTACTAGACCGCAAAGTCTCTGACTTCATCGAGGTTACATCTGAGATTTCTTTGGGATCCCCCACTGCCACTAGCCTAGGATTTGCCAGTATTCAGTAAATACTGGTCAACTGGATAAAAGGGGGGAAAGAAGGCAGTTCCAGCTGCCCTTTCTGCTCTTCTTCATATTTGCTGCTCCATTTCCAGTGTCTACAATTTTGGAATGGCAGTGCTCCACGCCTTCCTCACTGCCATCTTTTAAAAACCCTTGTTTTCCTCAAAAGTTTGCCCAAGCACTACCTTGTACACTTTCGCTTTTTTGTATGTTATGGCCCCCTTTGGCAATCCAATGAAGACTTGTGGACCCCTTCTTAGAATGATGTCATCGGGTGCATAAAATAAAATACATCTTATTACAAAGGACACCAAATACTGTAATCAAAATACCAAAAGTCCCAAGTTCATGGCTCCCAGGTTAAGAACCCTCCTTCTACAGGAAACCTTTCCTGATCCCCTCCCCCAGCTTCTAGTACTCCTTCCAAATTCACCTTGTATTTATTTTATGTATATTAATTTATATGGGTAGCTAGGTGGTACAGTGGATACAGCACCAAGCCTGGAGTCAGGAAGACTCATCTTCCTGAGTTCAAATCCAGCCTCAGACTCTAACTAGCTACGTGACCCTAAGCAAGTCACTTAACCCTATTTGCCTCAGTTTCCTCATCTGTGAAACGAGCTGGAGAAGGAAATGGTGAATCATTCCAGTATCTCTAGCAAGAAAACCCTAAATGGGGTCACAAAGAGCTAGACAAGCAAGACTGATGAACGACTGAACAACAAAAATATTAACTTATTTATATCTTGTTACTCTCAAATAGAACGGGAATTCTTTGAGGGCAGGGATCCCAGTGCCCATCACCATGCCTGGCACAGAGTGGCTGCCTGTTGATTGAATGATTGCTTCAGACAGCGAAAAATCCAGACACCCTCCCTTCTGGCAGGTACTGCCCATGCCAAGCTAAGAAAGGGCGCCCACAGAAATGCTAAGCTGAATTGGCATGATTTCCTTGAGTTCTTCAAATGCTTTCTCAGAACCACCATGGGCTTGAGCTCTATGCTCTAGAAAGGAAAAATCACTGCCTCTGGAGTCAGAGGACTTGGGTTAAAATGACCGTGGATGAGTCATTTTATTTCCCCAGGTCTCTGTTTCCTCATCTACAAAATGGGCAAGTTGGAATAAAAAACCTCGGACTGTGGCTTTTTGCCTTTCTTTGTATCCCCAGCATTGAGCACAGTTGACAGCACACAGTGAGCACTCAATCAGTGCTTGTTGACGGACTGACTGACTGACTGTGAAGTCTCTTCTAGCCCTAGATCTATGAGACTGTGAGCCTAGCCTGCGTGCTAAGCACTGGGGATCTGAAGGAAAGGGAGACATGGTCCCTGCCCTCAGAGGGCTTAGATTCTGATGAAGGTTCCTCTGTTTCCTGAAGAATCGGGAGAGAGACCCAAGGGACAGGCAGCTGCAGGGACCTGTGTGCCCTTCTAGAGAGACAGAACCCTTCACATGCATTAGATACCAGCTGACCCTCTCCAGAATCCTGTGAGGAAGTAGAAAGAGCACCGAATTGAAGGCAGAGGTCCTGGGTTCAAATCCTGACTAGCTTGGACAAGTCCCAGCTTGTGCACCTGAAAAATCAGCCTGGGGGAGTGCAGTTTGGTGCAGAGGAAGGTGTGCCATAAGTTAAAGGACCTGGGTTCGAATCCCAGTTCTACCACCTCCTGCCTGTGTGACCTTGAGCCAGTTAGCTGACCACCTGGGCCTCGGTTTCCTCGTTTGTAAAATGAGGGGGCTGGCTTCACTGACCTCCAAAGCTCCTTTGAGCTCCTGCTCTCTGATCCCTGACTGTCTCTGGCCATGAAGCCTGTTCGGGGGCCGCCCGGTCAGATCCTTTGCCAGGGAAAACATAACCCAGATCAGGGTCTGACCACGTCCCCGGGAATGTAAGGGCTTAGCTGTCCCGTGGGGGAGCATCAAGACCCATGAAGCTTGGGGAAGAGCAGCGAGCACTGTGGTCCAGAGTTTCCCTTTGATGCTGCCTTACAGAAGATTCGATGCAATTGGGATTCAGGCTGGAAGACAAGCCTGAGCCTCAGCCCTGGCAGCCTCTGGCTCAAGGGTGAGAATGGAGGCTTGAAGGGGATCTTTCTGGTAGTCATGGTAACTTTCTGCCCATCCCAGGGGAGAAGTGTGACTGGCTGTGACTACGTCAGCCCCGGCCGTCCTTCAAGGCCCATCTTAACACCACCTCCTCCAGGAAGCCTTTCTGATTCCTCTTCCAAGCTCATCCTAAATACCAGGGAGCTTTTCCCGACCCCACCCCCAGGGACTGGTACCTCCCCTCCCCCACAAATAACCTGTTACTTATTTTATATCTACATGTATGCAGTCTCCCTTATGGAATGTGAATTCATTGGAGGCAAGGACTATTTCATAGATCATACATCAGAATCCGGGAGGGACTCCAGAAAACACACTTTTACAGATGAGAAAACTGAGGTCTGGGGAAGTTAAGTGACTTTTCCAAGGTAGCAACGGCAGTATGGCTGGTAAAAAATGAACCCAGGGTCTTCTGACTTCCAAATCAGAGCAATCTCCACTTTCTTGTGCTGCCTTTCTTTCTGGACTATTTTCCCCTTATCTCCCCACCTAGCACAGTGCTTGGCACATAGTAGGATCTTTTAAAAATGCTTCTTGATTTATAGGCAAAAATGATACAATCCCTGCCCTCATTGAGTGATAAGAAGCAACCCTCCCGTAGCAAAGATGTGTTGAATGGAGACTAAAACCAAGTCCAGATGAAACCTGGGATAACAGCAAGTATGTCAAGGCAACAAGCACCTACTATGTGCCAAGCACTTGGTGTACAAAGCAAGGCAAAAATGAGTCCCTGTTCTCACGGAGCTCACAGTCCGGGGTGGGGTGGGGAACAATGCGCAAGCAGCTATGTACAAACAGGAGAAATACAGGGTAAATCGGAGATGATCCCGCAGGGAAGTCCAAGGTTAAGGGGGACTGGGAGGAGCAGAGAGGATTGTCACAGGATCAATCAGCAAACACTTATTAAATATCAATTAGGTCGAGGGCACCGTGCTAGGCACTGTGGGGAGAGAAACGCTAGCTATTACTAGGGTTGGGAATGAAACAATCCCAACCCACAAAGAGCTTACATTCCAATGTGAAAGAAAACACGTTCAGTAATAGTGCTAGTAATAGTAACACCAGCTTGCATTCTACAGCAATGTAAGGTTTGCAAAGTGCTTTGCATATGTTGACTTAGTCGGTCCTCACAAGAAGCCCAGGAGTTATTAAGTATTAATAATTGTTAATGCTAATGATATTCATTATTGGTATTGATTATTTTTAGCCAACAATTATTGGTTATTAATAATCGGTGTTGTTAGTATTCCTACTGTACAGATGGGAAAACTGAGGCTAACGCAGTGCCTTGTCCAGGGTTGCACAGACAGTGAATAGCTGAGATAGGGTGATCACTTGATATTATTTGGTTCCAAGCAATCTAACCTAACTGCCCCCTAAGACACACACAGCACGACTACAAGGCGAAAGCAGAAACGGTAATGAAATACCAAGCACTTTGGGATGGTGGGATGGCATGTAGCAGTTGAGGGGAACAGGAAAGGCGCCATGGAACCTGAGAGCTGAAGGGGCCTCACTGGCTGGCAGGCTGTCTGGTGTCCACGTCCACCACCCCACAAGGCAGCACCATTTCACCCTTGCGTAGATGTCGTTTGGGGGAAGTTTTCCCTTATGTTGAGCTCAGATCTGCCTTCCCATAACTTCCAATCATAGATAGCCCTTTGTTCTGCCTTCTGGCTCCAAGTGGAACACGTTATCATTATGAATGCCAAAATTAGTGCAGATGCCCAATTGGCTTAGCCCATTGCAGCTCAGGGGGAACTGAGGCACTGAGAAACTAATGACTTTACTGACGGTCACGCGTGGGGCAGCTAGGTGGCTCAGTGGATGGAGCGCCGGTCCTGGAGTCAGGAAGACTTGAATTCAAGTCTTGCCTCAGACATGTCTTAACTGTGAGACCCTAAGCAAGTCCCTTCACCCTGTTTGCCTCAGTTTCCTCATCTGTACAATGAGCTGGAATGGCAAACTACTCCAGTATCTCTGCCAAGGAAACCCCAAATAGGTTCATTAAGAGTCAAACACAACTGAAAACACAACCGAAAGTCACATAGGGTAATGACCCCTCATCCTGATTTCAGAGCCAGAGCTCTGGTCACTTACCTGTACTGCCTCTTTCTTCCCTTTCCCCCAGGCTCAAGAGATCCAGCAGCCTGCAGTGCACACCCCTACACCGGGCATAGGTGGAGTGGCCTCGGGAAGGTGGTCAATTCATGGCAAGTTTTGCCCTGGCAGTGAGTTAGCCCCTCTCCTGTGTTCATTAAGCATTTAGTAAAAGCTTAAAATGTGCCTGGCACTGTGCTAGGCTTTGGAAGTACAGAGACAAAAATGAAAGTGTCTTCCCTCGCTGGGGCTTACAGTCTATTGGAGAAAACAGGAAGTACAAAACTAGATGGAAATTAAAGATATAATTTGCTTGGTTTTTGTAGGAGGTGGGGAAGATGCTTAGCAGTGGAGG